GGGGGATTTTTCATTGATTGTGTTTACCTGTAGATCACTAGTGTGGATCATGAGCTGAGCTGCAGCACGTCAAACCAGTGCTTTAACATCACCTGCTGCTACCAAAGAGGATCCCTGCACTTAGAAGGACTGTTTAGTTTTACTTGTAAGATGACCCACACCGACACACAGTCGACCCACATCCCCCAGCAGGACAGTAACTGAAGATGGGAACAGCTGGAGGCCCGGACAATACCTGCACACATGGACGGAATCTAACTATCCCAAAGGAACATCTATGCCATCAGCTTTCAACTTCACGGAAAACTTACGTATAGTATTCTGAGCTCGTCTAGAGTCCATAGTCATTGTCTCTGGAAAGTGGTTGCCGTCTGTAACATGCTTCCTTGATTAATACCTACAAGACCACAAACAAATCCATTTCTCGTTGTTCAGAATCACAGACAGCTGCATGTACTGCGTCTCAGGATATATAACTATTCAACCTTTTGTACAGGTTGGGTACATTATGTATTATCCCTCTCCAGGCAGGGGCGTTGCAGTATTTGCAACAAGAACAAACATTTCTTTTACCACCACTACTCCACATCCATTTTTCCGGACCCGTTTTATATCAGTCAGAATACCTCTGGCTGGAGCTTTAGCAACACACCGTTTTCCCACCTACGCACCAGTGGGTCGGAGGCTGTCTCATTTCCAAAAAGTTTAAAACCAAAAGTAGCATAAAAATGAAAGATGTATATAAAAGATGCTACAGTACAGGCAATTAGTAGATTATATTTCCTCTGGGTTTTCCCTAGTCAGCTCTATTTTACCACAGTGGCCAATGTTTCAAATCTTCATCATCCCTGAATGCATTGCCGGGAAGTCTCTCTCAAAAACAGTCCATTCCATTCCATTCCACACCTTCTTCCCGCCGCTTCTTCCTGACAGGCGCGGGGGCAGCTTCCCTATCTACACACCCTTCCCTCCAGCTCATCCGGGGGACACCAAGGCGTCCCCAGGCCAGCTGAGAGACATAGTCCCTACCAACGTGTCCTGGGTCTTCCCTGGGGCCACTCCTCCCAGTGGGACGTCGCCCGAAACACCTCCCCAGGAGACGTCCAGGAGGCATCCGAACGACCCCGAGCCAACCGCAACTGGTTTCCTCTCGACGTAGAGAAGCAGCGGCTTACTCCGATCTCCTCCCGAGTGACTGAGCCTCCTCCGTCCCAAGAGCCTGGCGCCTAAAATTCTGTCCCCCATAAAGAACAGTGAACAGAACCGGTGACAAAGGGCAGCCCTGGCGGAGGCCAACAGCACCGGACCAGTCTGACTTACTGCCGGCGATGCGAAACACCAGCTCTGGCTCCGTTCATACAGGGACCGGACACCCTCAGCACAGGACCCCCTGGACCCAGTCCTCTCACCGGAAGAACACCCCCCCAACGAGACACCCCCGGGGACCACCGTCGAACGCCTTCTCCAAATCCCACAATAACGGCAGCAATCTTACGGCACAGACAGGTATGGGCGGAACAATCCCCATGAACCATCTGGCAAGATACTGCCAGAATTGGACGGACAGTATACGAGCAACACACCCCACCCAAACCCTGCACGAGACTAGACTATACTGCTCGACTACCCGACGAATTCAAACAAAGACCACACCCCCAATAGGGGGGGGGGGGGGGGGCGGACCGAAGTCTCCTCCCAGTACCTTGAATGACCTTACCGGGGAGGCTGAGGATGTGATCCCAGCGAAAATTTGGAACACACCCTCCCGGTCCCCCTTCATGTAGAGAGGGACCACTACCACCCCGGTCTGCCCCTGCCATTGGCACTGCCCCCGATCGCCACGCGATGTTTGCAGACACGTGTCAGCCAGACAGTCCCATTCAACAACATCCAGAGACTAAAGAAAGTCCAGACGGATCTCATCCACTCCCGGCCCCAACACCTCAGCCTCTGCTCCGGAACGGAGGACGTGACGGGGGGATTCGAGGAGAACATCAAAGGATGCCTTCTACCTCGCCCAAACATATCCACCATGTTAGGAAGATGGTCAGCGGGCGTGCGTGCGCGAGCCCGACGCCCGCACCGTACACCAACGGCGCTGGCAAAGAACTGCTTCCCCTCCTGAGGCGCTGGCCTTGCCAGAATTCTCTTCGAGGCCGACCGATAGTCATGCTCCCATGGAACTCTCCGAACTCCTCCCATCCCGGGTTTTTTTCCCTCTGCAACAGGCCCGGGATGCGGCAAACGCTTGTCCAGCCGGTACTGGACAGCTGCCTCAAGGAGTCCCCCCCCGAATCATCATTGCTCGATAGGACTCCTTCTTCAGCCTGACGGCATCCCTTACTGCTGGTGTCCACCACCGGGTTCTGGGGTTGCCGCCAGAACCAGCACCAGAGACCCCTGCAACCACACTACGGAGCAGCCGCATCGGCGATAGAGGAAGAGAACATGTAGGCCTGTCACGATTAATTCAATAAATCAATTAATCATCGCATGTTAATTAAATTAGCTCAATAATTTTTCCATTTATTGCATGCTTGTTTGTTTTCCCGTCTCTCTCTCAACACTCATCTCCCTCTCCTCTCTCGGGTCAGAGAGCCCAAAGTGGTCACGGGAACATTACGGTCTAGTAGAGCGGACTGAAATAACCAAAAATACAAAATTACAGCCAAAACATTTAACCTAAACCAGGACATAACCAGGATTGACGAAATGGGGGAGGACACAGTAGTATGTTTCTCATTCAGGCTTCTAGTAGTGGACTAAAACGAGCGCTGCAAGCGTTAGCGTGTTTGCCCGATGCGCGAAGTACTCAAAATTATGAACGCAACCTCCGTGAACACCTACTGCGGTTATATAAAAGTCCTTGCATTATGTGATGTACCTGCAATCATTATCATTGGCTATTAGATGAACATGATCTCAACAGAACGACAATAGTATCCTTATTCGCAAAATTATTCTGAGATCAATTAATCCGTCCAGCACAATTTGTAATCTTGTGTGACAGGCCTTAGAACAAGGTCCACTCAGAGTTCAATATTCCGCCCACCTCCGACGGGACCTGGGAGAAGCTCTCCCCGCAGGTGCGAGTTGAAAGTCCGTCTGACAGGGCGGCTCAGCGAGACAGTTCCCAGGCAGACCCTCACTACACCGCTATGGGCCTGCCAGGTCTGAGACCGGCTTCCCTCCCTGCCAGCGGATCCAACTATTGACCAGGTGGTGATAGGTTGACAGCTCCGCCCCTCTCTTCACCCGAGTGTCCGAGACACGCGGACGGCCGTGAAGGTCAGATGATACGACAACAAAGTCGATCATCGACCTCCGGCCCTAGGTGTCCTGGTGCCACGTGGCACTGGTGGACACCCTTGTGCTCGAACATGGTGTTTGTGATGGACAAACTGTGACTGGCACAGAAGTCCAACAACTGAACCCCGCTCGGGTTCAGATCAGGGGGGCCGTTCTTCCAATCACCCCTCTCCAAGTGTCACTGGCCATTTTCGCCCACAATGGGTGTTGAAGTCTCCCAGGAGAATAACGGAGTCCCCGTAGGTGCACCGCTCCAGTACCCCACCCAGGGACTCCAAGAAGGTAGAGCCCTGCACTTGAGCCCTTGGCCCGGAGGGCCGGGCTTCGGCCGATGACCCCGCATAATGACCTCGGACACGGGCCGGGCTCGGGCTCTTCATTTTCAGAGCGGCAGAATAATTTAAACGAACGCACCCACTGAATATAATCGTTCTATCACGCTGTAGTGTTTGTTGTTCTGTGTAGTGTTTGTCATTGACAGGGGGGCACATAGCGTTACTTACAGGTGTATTGCAGCATCGGGCCATCATACAGATGCGGAGGCCCGTTCACTTGGCACCACTCTCCGCACACACAGAACTCATCACTACCATGTATAACTCCGCCCTCTAGCTTAACTCCTGTCGTGGGTCATAACAGTGCGCGGCACCCCTATAACTACGCTAAAACATTGTTATGGAGAGTTACAACAAAACAAAACAGGCGGGTCTTGATTGCGGGTTTCGGGCCTGAAAAATTGAGAAACCCATAT